ATGTATCTGTCGGCAATAAAAAAGACTAATGTATGCTAACAATGTTCATTAAGTATTTTTTTTTCTTCTAAAAATCACTTTATCAAAAGTGGAAAAAAAGGAATTGAAGATATCAAAGCAATAGTTGAAAATTTGACTTGATCTCTCTTTGTAAAACCTCAAGTTGTGAAGCCCTAACTAGCTAACAACTTCTTTCTGGTGGAAGAAATAAGGGAGAAATAATTAAGACCTCAATGCTCCCTTTGAGTTTGTTTGTGTTTCATGATATCTATGTAATGGTCTTTGGATCGATATCTCTGAGTTCCAAAAAAAAAAATCAATCTCCATAAGGCAATCCAACTCCGAAGACCATTAATCTTTCATCGTTATCTCTCAATATGTCATCTTAATTACTCATCGCCTAATATGAACTATTACTAGTATGGGTTTCTTCTAAAGTTGTTGAAGCATGAAAAGCAGTTTTTTCTTTTGTTTTCCTAAGATGTAAACAAAACTAACTTGAAATAGTAAAATGAACGATCATGCATGATTAGATCTTTAATTTGCATTAAATAGCATTGCTCTTGTAAATCTTCGAAATCCTAGCTAGAAACCGAGATTATTACATATAAATAAATCCTAGCTAACTAAAATTCGACATTAAATAAGTAATAGTCTTTGAAATATTCTTTGATCATGGCGAGACAAACACCTTGAGGAAACTGAAGGAGGAGGATGACATATTGAGAGAGACCAACTACAATGAAGCCGACCAATGAAGTGTGTAGTATGATCGGGTCATAACCCATACCAATAACACCAACATAACCTCCAAGTCCGATAATATGTAGAGCATGTGAGAGTTCTAAACCGGAAATATGTAAACTAGAGAGTTGGATGATTGCAATCCCACCGGCGATGAAGGTAAATGTGAAGGTAGTGACGTCTTTGTCCCGATATTTGGAGGAAAAGTGAAACATAATTACAAACACTATCAAGGAGAAGAATGAGAGGCCGAGTCGTCCTAACGAGTAAACTGGAACTGGAGGAGGGTAAGTGAAGATGCAGCGACCCGCAACGACCGCATGGAGCGCGGTAACACCAAAAGCGGCGTATATGAGCTCATCGGTAGGCCATGAATCATCGAGTTTTTGAGAGAGACCCTGTATTGATAAGATGGCTATTGTGAAATATATAATTCGAAGAGTTAGCCAATTCGATAATTGGACTTCGTTTTCTTCATAATGATCAGTTTTTGGCATTTTCTTCTCACTTTCTTTTTGTTGGATTTGAATGAAAATGATTGTGGTGATATTACATTAGATTTAACGTTGAAGGCTATTTTGTGCTAACTACTTCACCTTTTTGTGAGGAGGATCAAGTCCTACGAATTTAAAATTTACTAACAATAAATACTTAAATAGTTTTAACTTTGAGGAAATTTGGAAAAATACCTTTACACGAATTTAAATTTTGAAAACTACACTTTGTTTTATTTTTTTTGAAAACTACACTTATTCTTAACTAATTTTACTAATTTGTCCTTGTTAATAACTTTGATATGTCAATAAATAAATTAAGATTATAACAAAACACACGTTAATGATTTATCCCACAAAAACTTACTTTTATTTTTCTTATAGAAAACAACAATTATCTATTCAAATCAC